ATGGTCATGCACATCTCCAGCCCCGGATGTCCAACAGGCACCAAAACATTGTCCTGTGCAATTTCCTCTGCACCCAGCAGCTCCTGAGGTGCTGATCCTCAAGTTGTGTCCCTTCCAACACCAGGGATGTGGGTGGGCATGAAAATCCCAGATTTTTCATAAAAATCCTCCACTACCCTTAAAACCCCCTCCAAATACCTTTAAAATACCTTCAAACCCCAGCTTTTCCAAACACTTTTCCAAGTTTGCCCAGACAGTGCCTGAACAGCCTGGGGTGACTGAGCCAGGCAGGGAACTGGGACCAGTTTTCACAAAGGAGAGGATTTTCAAACTGGGAAGGTGTGAAGGAGGCACCCAGTTTGAAAGATATATATATATATATATATCATATCTCCCCCTATGGTTTGAATTTGATTGTCTTGTTGAACTTCTGTAGGATACACTGAAGTAGATAAAGTATAAATATTATGATAACTATGCTGACAATTAGTACATATGTGCTTATTTTTAAAAGTTTTCTTTAAATTGGTGTAAGGTTTAGTGGAACAAAAAGATTATTTAACTGTGATGGTTTTTTTGACTTTGAGTTTGGTTATATTTCCTTGTAACTGTTGTATGTTCTTATGTATAGATATTGAATGGTTGGAGATATTCACACAATGTATTTTATCAAAGTCTTTATACTTATGCCTATGTGCTAACAAAAGAAAATTAGTTGTTTTGTTTGGTAGAGTTGTATGCCTTACACCTTGAACGTTAGTTAACAAATTGTTCAGTGTAAGAGAAATCATATGAATTGTTTTACTTTGTTAACAACTTAGTTTATTAAATTCCTTCAAGACAAGGGAGATAGAGGAGGGACAAGGCTCAGCAGGAAAGGGACAGGTCCCACAGAGCAGGCCCAGCAGGCAGGGAGCAGCTGGTAAGGCCAGCAGGAGATAAGGGGCAGAAAAGCTGCCCCTGGGCAGCACTCAGCCAAACCCCAAATGATCTCTGTGTAGGAAACAGCAAAGCCCAGCCTAAACCCTGGTCCAGAGGCTGTGGCTCACCCCAGGGTCAGAGCAGGTTCACCAGGACCTCCGAGAAGTGATGCTGCATTTCCTCCCCTTCCCACTGCAGACCCCCAGGCTGGGATTTGGGGAGACCCCAACCCTCTGCCCTGCAGGGACCCCAGCAGCTCCCCCTGAGCTGCAGGTCAGGCCTAACCCTGCCGAGCTCCCCTGGGATCTGATGGTGTAAACACCAACCCAGGACATGATGATTATTTCCTTTTCCACAAAGAAACCAACCCACTTCTCTAGAAATGCTTCTAGAGTGATGAAACATGAAATGGGAAGGATTCTATGGGATGGGAATGGGGAAATTCAGTTTGATCTGAGTCTGAGCTGCTATGCAGTGGCTGCTCTCCTGGGTGAGAGGGGCCAGAATGCAATGCAGGGAGCAGCTCATTTTCAGATGGTTAATGCTTCTTGTGCTGCATGGGTTGGAATTTTCCCTTCTGTTTACTTTATAATGCTAGAAATAGAACCCAAATTAAATTTAAAATTGATTTTTGAATCAGCATTGCTTTCCCAGGGACTCCCCAGTGTGTAAGCAGGGCACTGTGAGGGCAGCACCTCTTTCCAGAAGTCATTGCTCACATTTCGTGCCTCAGCAATGATTCAGTTTGGGGCCTGAGCCTAAGCTAAAGGTCAGCATTAACTCATGCTCTGAAGGGAGGGCTCTGTTCTCATCTCTCAGCCCAGCTCTGCACTGTGTGACACACTGTGCCTGAAATGGGTGGGATTTGTTGGGTTTTTTTGGAGTTCACTGTGTCTGGCAACATACAAATTCCCCTTTCTGAGACATGGGCTTGGAGAAGCTTTTGGATGAGGCTTTGGCTCCAGCCAGGCTTGTCCCCAAAGCTGGGGGAGTGCTCAGCAAACCCCAGGGAGAGCAGCAGCAGCATCACCCACCCTCAGCTCCCCTGAGCCAGAGCCTCCCCCAGCTCAGTCTCCCAATTCCTCCCGGCAGATTCATCCTTCCTGAAATCCTCTCCTTGTTTTTTGACCCCTGTGGTCCCTTGCTGCAGGGTTTAGTCACGAGATGCATGAAAAAAACCCATCCTGCAGCTTTCACAGAGCCTCTGCCCACTTTCGCTGGCACTTTCCCTGGGTGCCAGCTCGTTCTGAGGTGTGGGAAGCACTGAGCAATTTTCCCCTGCTCACATTCTCCAGGGCTCCCTCAAAGCAGATTTAGGTGTCTGCAGCGTGTCCCTCTCAGGTACCTCCTGCCAGCTCAAAGGCAAAACCTCCCTGTCCTGGCAGACAGATAAAAAACACTGGAATAGTTTTCCAAAGAGCAAATACCTCCATTGTCTCCCCCTCTGAGGACACACAGAGGAATTTTTATTCTGTAATGCACAGCCTGGTAATTAATCAGCTGGAAAACTGCCTGAAATGACTTTGGAACAAAGACTAATTAAAGAATTAACTAAGCCTAAACAGAGGCAGGAGCAGCTCGGCTCACTTCCAGCCCAGCCTCACAACTGGTACAACAATGGCTCTTTCCTGAGGGTGTTCCTGGATGTGGAACTTGGGATAATGGAAAGGGATGGATGGATGGATGGATGGATGGATGGATGGATGGATGGATGGATGGATGGATGATGGATGGATGGATGGATGGATGGATGGATGGATGGATGGATGGATGATGGATGGATGGATGGATGGATGGGTGGATGATGGATGGATGGATGATGGATGGATGGATGATGGATGGATGGATGGATGGATGGATGGATGGATGGATGGATGGGTGGATGATGGATGGATGGATGATGGATGGATGGATGATGGATGGATGGATGGATGGATGGATGGATGGATGGATGGATGATGGATGGATGGATGATGGATGGATGGATGATGGATGGATGGATGGACGGATGGATGATGGATGGATGGATGGATGGATGGATGGATGGATGGATGGATGGATGGATGATGGATGGATGGATGGATGGATGGATGGATGGATGGATGGATGGATATTCCCCACACAGGAAATTTTCTAGGACAAAGCAGCAAAGGAGCAGTGAAGGTGTGGAAGCGGGGGAGAACCATCTGCACCTGCATCTCCTACAGGAGAGTGACCCTGGAGGGGAGTAAAGGAAAACCTGGAGCAGGTGAAAGAGGGGAGTGGATGTGGGACCAGGGCTGGCTCATTGCACACCCTGTCTCTGTCTTCTGCTGCTGTCCCACCCTCCCACTCCCTCCACAGGCACCCAACAGCTCCCAGTGCCACCAGCCCCAACTCCAAACTGGGTTTGGCCCCTGGTTTGTGCGAGAGTAGGGGCACAGCAGACAGGAAATACTATTAATTTTTTCAGTGCTCTCAACACCCTACCAAAAAAATCACCTTTGGTCACCTGCAGGGTTAAACCTCTCAGGGTTGAATCACTGGGCCACACGCTGGAGGGTTGGGAGGGACAGCATGATTAGGAGAGACAGCAGGATTAGGAGGTGCAGCAGGGTTAGGAGGGACAGCAGGTCCTGGAGGCAACCTGTGAACCTCAAATCCATCCTACAGATTAAACTGAGCTCCCTCCCACCCCATCACTGCATCCCGAATTCCTGGCAAGTACACAGAGCCGGCCCAGTGGGGAAAAAAGCTGATTCCCCAGGGACTGGGAACAGCAGGAATTGGGAGGGAGTGCCGTGTTCCCACCCCAAGGAAGGTTATTTCCTTCAGTAAAATCGTTTCTGTGCTGCCTCCTTGCCATGGGTTGTCCCTGCCACTTGTGAGGGGAAGAGGGGACAGCCGGAATGGGGCAGGAAATGGAACCACGTGTGGTTTCATTTAATCTGCAGAGCATCACTGCCTCGAGTTTCACCCTGAGCAGCAGCTGCAGCTCTAGTTTCCCCTCATGCCAGGGGTACAGGAGAGCTCCCCTTGTGCCCTGGCAGCTGTGCCAGGAAGCTCTGCCCATTTCTCTGCACTGATCCTGGTCCAGAACAGCGGGACAGGGAGGGCTGATCCTTGTGGGGTGTCCCTATAAACAGTGGTGAGCTGGGACGGAGCACCACACCCCAGTGCTGGAGGGTCTGTGCTGGCATCTGGGGTCCTGCTGTGGGAACACAGGTTCATCCAGATGGAAAACACCTTCATGGACAGAGGAGTGGGGAAGGTGGGTGCCCACAGCTCCTTGCTTGTTCCCACTTGTCCTCACTGGATGGATTTATCATGCTGGCTGTTCCTGAGGGGGAAAGAGGCAGATCCAGTCCCAACAGTCAAACCAAGGCATCTTTTGCATCTCCTGCAAACAGAGTTTTATTGGGCACATGTTGGTCCCTCCCCAGTTCAGATCCCTTGTACAGCTCCCACTCAGGACCCTCTTTTCCAAAACACTTTGAGGGATTTTTCCATCCTCTGTAAGGCAGTGTGGAACCTATTATTGCTTCATTCCTTTATTTGCTATGAAGTTATTCCTAGAAAAACACTCTTGACAATTGTCCTTATTCTCCAGGGCCTGAAGTTTTCATGGATCATGGGATGGTTTGGGCTGGAGGGACCTTAAAACCATCCAGTGCCACTCCTGCCATGGCAGGAACACCTCCAACTGTCCCAGGCTGCTCCAAGCCCTGTCCAGCCTGGCCTTGGGCACTGCCAGGGATCCAGGGGCAGCCCCAGCTGCTCTGGGCACCCTGTGCCAGAGCCTGCCCACCCTGCCAGGGAACAATTCCTGCCCAATATCCCATCCATCCCCACCCTCTGGCAGTAGAAGCCATTCCCTTGTCCTTGTGAATTGTCTCTTTCCATGTTTCCTGCAGGCTCCTTCAGGTCCTGGAAGGCCACAGTGAGGTCATCCCAGAGTTTTTCTTCTCCAGCTGAACAATCCCAGCTCTCCCAGCCTTTCCTCCCAGCAGAGCTGCTCCATCCCTCTGATCATCCTGGTGCCTCCTCTGGATTTTCTGCAGCAGCTCCAGCTACTCCCTGTGCTGGGCCCCAGGGCTGGGGCAGCTCTGCAGGTGGGGTCTCACCTGAGGAGACACAGGGACAGACACACAAAGGAACAGGAGACTCTGTTGAGCTGGAACTGATGAGATGGAGACTCCCAGGGGATCTGAGCTGGGATGTTGAGCTCCACTGTCAGCTCTGGTTCCCAGCAGGGCCCTGCAGCTCTTCTGTCTTTTGGGACATAGGACATGGACTGGAAATGTGTGGCTGGGGCAAAGGAGTTCAGCTTGAAGTTGCTTTCTCACTTTGAGATCTTCTTCCATCAGACTGGGGCTGATGGAACCATCAGATTGGGCTGGTCATATCCAACAAGTCGAAGAACATATGGGGCTGCTAGACACAGCAACATCAGAACTGCAGGATCATCCTCATCTTGGGAAAAGAGACAAAGCAGGAAAGATCTGAGGAGAGGAAGTCACAACTGTACCTGGAGTGCATCCCTGAGAATTCTCTTTGGCTTGAAAACTGAGGAACAGCTCCAAGAGGCTCCAGAGCCCTGCAGGAGGCTGCTCTCCCTGAGGCTTTCCCAAAGGAAAAGCAAGGATGTCAGGATGGACAGGGACTGGGTCCCAGCAGAGGCAGGAATTACAAACACCATATGCAGCTTGTGCCTGTTTGATAAAGAATTTCCAAATAGACGAAGATCAGGTTTGAAAATGCCTTTTTTAAAAGAAAGAAGCAAAAATATTTTTTTTTTTCATTTCAATAATAATAATAAAATAATATTTAGTCTTCCATAATAACAGTTACAAAGATAAATGAAATCTTCTGGACCACAGCATGTCTGGTCACAGAGAAAGAGTTCATTCCCTCTGGAAATAAATTATGGTAAACTGGAATACAGTGCAGGAGGTCCTGCTTTCATTTCATGCCAGGGTAAATCCACACTCCCAGAGTCACAACCTCTTTTTATTTTCTCCAGACAGTTGAGGGGTCTGAAACTGGTTCCATCAACAGTTTCCTGTGTCAGGTAAGTCTGACTCCAGGCACTTTGGTGAGGATGAAGGCGGAGATGAAGCAAAGGTCACTACAGTAGTTGATAACCCCACCAGCTGTAGTGGTGTCACATTGCATGACCATCCCCCCTGTCTTGGCCTCTTCCTGCCCCTTCACACCTCCAGTTTGAGCTTGCTGTAGTAGCAGAGCCACCAGTGAGACCAGGGGCTGACCACAGGGTCCTGGCCAGCTGCAGTTGTGCTGTAGTGATGCAGCCCGAGAAACTCCCTCAGCTTCTACACTGAGCAGGGAAAATTATGTCCATCTTTGGAGAAGAAGGCATTTCCCTCTCACCTTGTCCTTCCAAACCCTTCGTTTCCTTGGAATGTCTCACTCTGGCCCCACAGCAGGCATTCCTGTGCTGCCTCAGTGTGAGTCCAGCCCAGTCTCCTCCAGAGTGCCCAGGGCTTTGCTCTTAATCCGGAGCTTGTGCGGGAGGGCAGCAATGCTCCGGCCCTTCAGCTGCTCTTCCGAGGGGCAGGGCAGGCTGCAGGAGGGCGCAGGAGAAGTTTTGGGTACTTGTTGCTCGTCATCTTCATCTGACACCGCAGTGCTGCTCTCCTTCCTGGCCTCAGCGGTGCCAGGGGATGGGCACAAGAACCAGGCACCGCCCAGCCAAGGGCAGGGGAAGGGGTGTTTGTCTGAGCAGGGGTAGCTGAGGAATGGAGAGCAAACTGTGGGGCTGAAGGATGCATCAAACCTTTTGAGGCTGAAGGATTCCTCAAACCTTTTGGGTTGCTGGAGGCCACCTGTGTCTATGGGAATGGGTTTGGAGTCGCAGCCAAGGATGTTTGTGGAGGAGTTGAAGGTTTCGCAAGGAAATTCAGCTGGCTCCAGCACCTTGGGCACAAAACTCTTCTGGGCAGGGCAGCAGGAATCACCAGCAAAGGGCTCCACACCCAGCAGGGGTGAGGCTGCCCGGTGCCCCCCGAGGTAGAGCCCGAGGGGGCGGCCCAGGTAGGGGCTGGGCGCGGGGCTGAGGAGCCCGAAGCGCAGCTTGAGGGAGAGCAGCTCGGTTCTGAGCATGGCGTTCTCGTGGCTGAGCGCTGCCAGCTGGCTCTCCATGGCCACGTCGTTGAGGCGCCGCTTCTCCCGTGAGCGCTTGGCGGCCTCATTGTTCTTGCGCCTCTTCTCCCAGTACATGGTGTCCTTCTTGTCGTCCGGCATGAATTCCCTCTTCCGCCGGGAGTGTCCGCCCACCTTCCCCAGGAGCAGCTGGGCCTGGCCCCGCTGCAGCACCTGCTCGCTGCGAGTGGCCAGGAAGTTCTCCATGCTGGTGGGGAAGGCAGCTGGGGTTCTGCTGGAATGAGAACACTCATTAGTTACCTCTAATTAGTGCCATTGGGTAAATTAACATCAGAATGGGATTGTTTTTTGTCTCGGTGTCTTAGGTTAGAAATGGGGGTGTGTATTCTATTCCCATCTGTTAGCAGTGGGGCAGTTCTCTTCTCTTCATTGGGCAGGTTTCTTTATCTCTCCCACAGCCAATCCTCCCTGCAGGAGATATCTTCTGTTAATGAGCCCTTAATTATTAATTATCTTCTGTTCATGCGCCAGTGAGTGTTCCTGCATGCCTGATAAAATTCCATCATCCCACTGGGAGAGGCTCCAGCCAGGGGAAGAGCCGAGCATTCCTACCTGGATACAATCTGACCTGGGAACAGCACAGCAGCCTTTGCCCACTGCAGTCCCAGAGGAGCAGCTTTCTTCCCACTGCATTCCCAGAGGAGCAGCTTTCTTCCCACTGCATTCCCAGAGGAGCAGCTTTCTTCCCACTGCATTCCCAGAGGAGCAGCTTTCTTCCCACTGCATTCCCAGAGGAGCCCAGGCCCATCCCCACCAGCCCTGGAGCTCCAGAGGAAAACTCCCCCCTTGTGCAGGATCCTGCTCCAGCAGAAGCACAGCTGGCACTGCAGGAGGGCTGAGCCACCCTGGGATGGGGCTGCCACCACCACCCTGACCCACAGGGGTCAGGGCCTGTTCTGACTCTGTCAGGGTTGGTTTGTATTACTGCATTTTTATTTTATCTTTTTTTTAATTATTTCCCTAATAAAGAACTGTTATTCCTATTTCCATATCTTTGCCTGAGAGCCCCTTAATTTCAAAGTTATAATAATTTGGAGGGAGGGGGTTTACATTTTCCATTTCAGGGGAGACTGCTGCCTTCCTTAGCGGACACTTTCCAAACCAAGACACTCTGTTACACACACGAGAATGAGGACAGCTTCTCCTGCTTATTCCTGTCATTTTGGAGCCGCCTTTTCAAAATATTCAGATTCTCTAGTGTTTTCAAAATATTCAGGTTCTGATGTGTCAGCACAACAATGAATCAATCAATCAATCAATCAATCACATCTCACTCAGGATATCTAAAAACTGCGCACGACCGAGCAAACCCACACATTTCGTCAACTTGGTGAACAGTCACACTTTATCTAAGTAACTTCAATCGAGATGATAAAAATTAGTAGTGATCTCCAACTCATCTCAAGCTGCCTTACAGAGGAAATAAGAGTCATTAGCTCTGTTTGGGAGATAAGGAAGGCACAGGGAGAAGAACTGATTTACCTCAGTCACGGATTTTGGGTAGGAGCTGAAGCAGGGTTACGAAACAGCTTTGCTATCATGGGATGATTTAGGTTGGAAGGGACCTCAAAGGTCATCCCATTCCACCCCCAGCTACGAGCAGGGACACCTTCCACCATCCCAAGGTTCTCCAAGCCCTGTCCAGCCTGGCCTTGGTCACTGCCAGGGATCCAGGGGCAGCCACAGCTGCTCTGGGCACCCTGTGCCAGGGCCTGCCCACCCTGCCAGGGAACAATTCCTGCCCAATATCCCATCTAAATTTACTCAGTGTCCATTTAAAGGTATTTCAGAAAATCAGATCTCTTTTTAAGCTATCCCAAGCACCCAACAAATGAAGCAGGAAAGATCTCTGGAGGATTTTGAGGATCAAACAATGTGAGAATGGATTAAATGAGCTCCATCATACATACACAGAGTTACACAAATACTCTAGAGCAGAATGATTACCACTGACCCTAAAATGCTGTTCAAGGACTTTGATTCAGTGTTCCACTGCTTGTAGATGAAATCTTTATGCAGGTTTAGAAACCTTCAGTACTGGCCAGTTGTAATCACCAGTGGCCTCTGCACAACTCAGACCTGCAAATCTGACCAATTCACATCTGTTCCCTCTCCCAGTTTGCCCAGTTTGACCAGAGTTTTGTGCTGGTTTAAACAGGACAAGTCCCACCACAGTGCTCTCTGCACAAATCAGTGAGATTTTGTAATTAAAAACATTTGGAATGCATTTATTTTCATTTCTCCCTAAGCCCTGGAGATCTCAAAGACTACACAAAGGTTCTGAGCATAACTCAGAATGAACAAAACCAAATCAAAACAAAGAATGTCCTTTAGCATGAATAAGTTTGGGGTAATTTCTCCAGCTTTCGATCAGAATTACTGCTGACCTAAAAGCATCAAAAGGAGACTTTCAGCAAGTGGATTTGTGGTTTTTCACAGTGTCAAGAGGCAGAAATGCAGTTTTTCAGGGCTTAATCACTTAGCAGGAATGTTTCAGGTTTGGAGGTGACGTGAGTTGTTTGTTGAATGAGTCAAAGATCTACAGGTGGCTTTTTCATAGAGTAAACTCCTCACCCACAGTGGACAGAGCAGGTTGTTCTCTCACCATCCTTCCCTTGCTCCTGGTGCCCATCACAAGGGTATCCTATGGGAAATTCAGGATTACTGCTCCCAATATTACCTATTCAGTCAGCCTGGAAAGCATGGGGGGAAAAGGAACCCAGACCAGGCATTTGTGAGACAGAGCCTGAGCAATGAACCTTCCTGAAAACCAATTTTGTTGAACTTTCCTCACATTAATCCAACCCCTCACACTCCAAGTGAGGACGCCAAGGTGGGACTTCCCTTCAGAACTCAACACTTGAAACACATGGACGTGACAAAGAGACGTGAGGGTTGAACCCAGGGGGAAAGGGAAGAATCAAACATTTCCACTTCCTTGGCGGTGGGGAAGGCCGGGAAGGAGGCTGGGTGTGAAGTGGGAGGCAGGGGAAGAAGCTCTTACTGAGGCAGGATCTGGCCTTTTAAGGTCAAGGAATGAAGCTTGAGCTGGGCCAGTGTGTGAAAGCATCAAGGTTTGGCCACAGAGTCTCACCTCCACCTGTTATTTTTATCTGCAGCCCACGGAGTCACACCTGTGCCCACACGAGCCTCGGGGCTCGTGGCGAGCGTGGCCTCCAGCAGCAGCGAGCACAAAGTGACACCGAGCCCGTCCTCACAGGCTCCAGGGGAAATATTAATATTTGCAGTGGCATTAGAGCACTTTGCTCAGGTGAATTATGCAACCAAGAGTTTTTAAGGTGCTTTGGTGTCTGTTGTTTCTGCAGCTGGAAGTATAAAAGAGATTTACCAGTGTCTTGCCTGAATACAGGCTGAGCTCTGTGTTAGCTGCATCCCAGAGAGAAAGCACCAAAATATTTGTAAAATGATGCTGTTTCTTTAGTTTTCACCTCTTCTTTGCACTGTATCTGCTGGTTCTGTTCAGACAGAGTGTGAAAAACGCTAATCACTTGGTTTTTAAAATTTTTTAAAGTTTAATAATAATTAAATGGTTATAAAAATAGTAATATGATTAGAGTAATAAAGTTTAGAGTTAGGATAATTATAAGACAATAAAAAGTAAAGAATTATGGATGCCTGAATGTTCTTGGACACTAAGTTATGAAAAGCATGACTTGTGAACAAAGGAATTACTTTCAAAAAAATACACTTGTATATTTATATATCTTTTATGGTTATGCATACATTCTATTTAAAACAAGAAACTTTGTTTGTTGTATGCCAATTGTTTTTTTAATCCTTATGGCATTTTTGAGTCTGAGCAAAGCCTGAAGAAATTAGCTTCTTCTGATAAGAAGCCATAAATTCTTCTCCTTTGGAAGATTTAGGTGTTCTTCAAAGCGAGTATCTCATTCCTAAAAAAAACTTACCCCACATACATAGTCTCCATTTTAACATTATGTTGGAACCTAAAACTATATTTAACACACTACTTAAGAGAGTTAATAGAGCATAACTTTTTAACATTACACATTATTTAATGTAATATTTGCAAAAAGCCAATCATAAAATATGCATTTTTCACACAGAGCATCTCTCAGAAGCTCTGCTTCTCTAGAGAGCAGTCTTTGAGCTTCACCTCTGAGCAGGCCGAAAGCAAGGCATGGTATTTACATAAAGATTGTTAAATGCATGAAGATAAGCAGTAAAACCCATCCTGTTCACTTCTACGATGCCTCTGATCAGCTGGGAAGGGCTAATGTGCAGTGCCCTGCTTTAATTTGCACCTCTGTGAGGGTGAGGATGTGCTGTATCAGAGGTTTGCATTTGCTCTCCACCGCCCTGCTCAAAAGATCCTCATTCTTGCTAAAAACTTTTCTTCCTGCTAAAAGAAGGCCCTTGCAGTTCTCAGCTTCAGAGATTTGGCTCAGCACTATCTCCCCTCCTTTCCCTTATCTCCCCCCTGAGCCACAGAGCAGAGGGGACTCTGATGAGTTGGACTTTCCAGCAGAGTGTGCAAAACCCTCCAGGAAAAACTCGATATCTCAGCGGAACTGATTCAGTGCTGCGCCCCAAGCTGATACACAATCAAACTACACTGAAATCAGCTGCTGAATCTCCCTTTTCTTCAAGCCCAAGGCAAGCCTTCAACCCTCAGATTATTCTTTTTTGTTTCAAAGATGCAGGAAAATTAAAATAAATCCTTAAATTTTAACTCGTTATTTCTCAGGAGTAAAGAAAATGAACTGGGATTATCACAGAGTGAATTTCAAAGAAACAAAGGGAATCTTCATACAGCACAACTAAAATTCGGAGTTCTTTGTCTCAGGATAATGTAGTCATCAAAAAAGGGACAAAGATCAGCCCTTGTTCAGCAGCAAGTGGTTATTGATATACAGCTGAACCACTGGTCTTACCTTGGGATTAGAAAGGATGACATGGATTAAATACAAAATTCAATCCCTGTAGTATCATATCTGTATTTTATTATTCTCAGTTTCCTCCATTTTTAATGTGTGACTCTAAATTTTGCTACATCTCTTATGTCTTCTCTAAGTTGCAAAATTTTTCTTAAATTTTTGCACCTGTTTATCCTTATATTACAAAACTATATCTACAACAATCAATAAAAATTTGGTGTTTGAAGCCTCATTTAAAAGCACAGCTGATAGGAGCATTCATCACTAAAACATTAAAAATAAAAATCCAAGCATAAGTCTACATATATTTTAATTAAATCAGACAATCAATGTAATATAAAAAGGCACAGAGTGACTTGGCAGAACTTCCCTGAGTTGGAGATTTCTGTTCTTGGCTCTGAAGTGAAAATGGTCGATTTTAAACAAGCAAAGGGAAGGAAACTTCCAATTATTTTCCATAAAACACCTAATTCCATTATGAAAATCACTGCTCCACCGACAATCTTTGGATCAAATTTTCATTCCCAGTTGCCTGATGTCACTGGCTTCATCACCGGGATATATAAGCACCAATCCA